TGTGCGACCGGTAATTTCTGGTGCAGCCATTCTGGCGCTGGACACTTTCCTCGGGCAATTTGGAGTTGAGGCTTTCGCGTCGCATCTCAAGAGAACTTTTTGGTGGAGAACTTTAGATGGTCTGTGCGCTTCGCCGCGGGGATTGCTATGGCTGGCCATCACCGCTGCGACGCTTACCTTCACCTTTCATCTTCCTCCAAGGAAGACCAAGCATAGCGCCGATAATCGTGCCTACACTTGATACCCTCACTAACACTCACTCTGACGGACTGAAGCTGTCTGAAACATATCCATTCTACGTGCAATCTACCTCACGCCAACATGGCGGACATCGATGCTGAGCTCGCAGGCATCGGCAAGGAGCTCGACAAGGACGCAGAGATTGATCGCATCCGTAGCGTCTTCAGCCTCGATGCATACGCCGTCCTAGACCTCCAACCCGGTGTCCCCGAATCCGACATTAAAAAAGTCTACCGCGCAAAGTCCCTCCTCATCCATCCGGACAAGACGAAGAACGAGCTCGCCCCCGACGCCTTCGACCGCCTCAAGAAAGCCCAGACGGTGCTGCTCGACGAGAAGCTGCGCGCAGAGCTCGACGAAAACATCGCCGATGCGCGTATGCTGCTCATGCGCGAGAAGAAGCTCACAGCCGACGACGAGGAAACACGCAGTGAAGAGTTTGCCAAGGAGTGGCGGCAGAAAACTATCTGGGTGATACGGGAGAATGAGTTAAGGAAGCAGAGGCAGATGAAGGCAGCGATGCGCGAGGAGGGCAGGGCACAGCGCAAAGAGGAAGAAGAGGCCAAGGAGCGCAAGCGCAAGAGAGAGCAAGACGAGGCATGGGAGAAGACACGCGACACAAGAATCAACAGTTGGCGCGACTTTCAGCAGGGCAAAAAACCAGATGCTGCTGCCGATGGTGGTGTAAAGAAGAAGAAAAAGAAGGTCAAGGCCTTAGGTTAAGCTTATCGCCAACCTTACCGTAGACCCGGGAATTTCTTCACAATACCCTACCACTTGCCGCAAGAGAAGACCAGAAATCACACATGGCCAATTGTCTCTAAAAAAAAAGACCCGCCATATCTTCTGCGCTCTCTCCTTTCAAGGCACACCAAAGCCACTCATGTCTCTTCTCGATACCCAATGTACTTAGTTTATTATTTCCCCCTCTCACCAACCCCCCTACTTACATCCCTTGCATACAAATACATACATACATAAACTAGTACCCCATCGCGTCCCCACACTCGCAACATGTATCTCCGAACCCATCTCTTACACACATACAACCCAACTGCAAACGCCCAACCTAACCATAACCCAATCACATCCTTAATCACCCTAAAAAACCAACCGGACTCTCATCCGCTCCTCTGCCTAGCTCGGCGACTCCCCTCCGTAGCCAGTAGCACAACTTTACCCACCATTCCCCCCCAGCCCGAGTTCCCTTCGTCATGTTCTCGCCGATCCCGCCCTTTAGAGTTTGTGAACACCCAAGGTTTGAAGCTAAGGGGGGGGGTTGACTTAAGCGCGGTTTTAGAGCATGCATAGGTCGGACGTCAGGTCATCAATTTTTTTTTCTTAAAAAATCGTATAGGAGGAGGGGGGTGCGCGGAGAAAGGATAAGTGCTGTTTTGCATATCTTTTGCCCTTCCTTTCGCCCGTTTTTTTTGTTTGGTTTATCCGATAGCCGCGGTGGGAAAGCTTAGACTAAATTAGTGGTTGAGCGAGATGAGTAACTATCAGTAACCTAAAGGGGGTGCAGTGAAATGTGTTTAGTAATGTATGAGTAAAAGGGTTGTATAATGTCATGGAACTTATTTTTCTCGTTAAAAATAATGCAATACAAGTATTTCATGTAGCTAGCTCTACGTCTGTATGACATGTTGTCGACCCCATAAACCTTAAAATCCCATCATAAACGAACCAAGAAAAAGATAGCTTATCCGAAGATTTGCGGCAAAAAATCAGGAGAGAAAAATGGTAAAAAAAGGGTATATCCTCCTTTCGTAACCTGCTTAGTCTCAAAATGATAAAAAAAAGAGCCTAGCAGCCCCAAGCCCGCCTCAGTCGTACGATGTCCGTGGCAAATGCGCGCCCCCTTCGTATTGTATCCACACAAACGGTGTGAACAAAAGTGAAATGCTTAAGTAATAGTTTTGTTTTTGGTTGGAAATCGGCTCGCCCCGAGCTGACCCGAGCTCAGGGGGGCGTGAAGAAGAGAAGAAGTGAGAGGAGGAGAGAGAAAAAATAGGAGTTCGTGGTATCTTTAAGGTAAAAATGGTTTGTTGCAAGCTCAACAAAATGGGACATGATGGACAATTAAGGAAATAAGAAAAGCGATAGGTAAGAGAAAACAAGAGAGGAAAAAAAAGATGCCGAGGCAAGAAAGAACATGGTGAAGAAAGACGCCGGAATCATGCGGAGATCGTACTAAGTTGCCAAAATGCAAAAAGGTAAGGAAAAAGAAGAACAGAATGAAAAAAGAAACAGAACCTAGAGTGAAGTAGAAGAAAAAACACAACGAGTTGAATCATTCCCCGTTTCCATCATATGCATGCATTCCACCGTTTTCTGGAAGACAGACGTAAAAAAGACAGTTCAAAGGAGAAGAAAAACCGACCAGCAGGTAAATCAACCCTTGATGTCCCTGTGAAAGCTTTCCCAACCCCCTCTTTTCTTATTCCAGCATTTGTTGAATATCCAATCGCCTCCGCTTCACTGTCTCAGGAGACTCAAGTCTTCGCTGCTCGGCACCACTCGCCAGCGACTCTAGTGGTCTAGCACGCTCATGTTCTGCTGCCGCTGCAGCACCCGTGCTCATTGCTTCAATATGCAGTGGTGAGCCGAGGGGCGAGGGTGCTGTTCGAATGGGCGGAAGGTGTAGGCCCTCGAGACGTGCGGGGCGGTTCAGTTCGCGGAAGGGTTGCTGCGAAGACGACGTGGGCGGCCGAGTGGTGGATCCGTAGGGCGAAGGGTATGTGTTTGTGCTGGGTTGGGTGGGAGGCTGGTAGGTAGGCAAGTATCCAGTGTCTGCACCTGCGCCTGCGGTAGGCGAGTAGCCGTAAGATGGACTACTGCTGTAGGAGCCGGGGCTTATCATAGGCAAGGACGTTCGGACGGCCGAGAGATTGTAGTACGGTGAGCTCGGCCCGGAGCTGGTTGAAGATGGTCGACGGGACTGGTGCGGCGTGAGATATGATATCGGTGCGTTGTTTAGCGCAGATGTTGTCTGGGGTGCGTTGTTTGGTGTAGGAGGAGCAAGCTGCTGGGTGAGTAGGTTTGGGGCTGCGAGCCTTGGTGGTGATATCACAACCAGCGTCACAAAGTATAGTGAGATCTTCGCAAGCCTGATTTGGACTTGCAGCGACTGATATGGCTCTGCACCTGGAGCACGGAAGCTGAGGTAGATGGACCTGTTGGTGGAGCCCTGAGTGAAGTGGTCAATCTCTTGATCTGAGACAGCGTCCATTACTGATCGCATGGGATCCTGTCCCACAGGAGTGATGGGTGCCATGTAAGCCGGCTCACGTTCGTCGCGCTCATCGCGTAGTTCGTTACGCAATCGCTGGAGACTTTCGTTTTGCCTGGGCTCCAGCAGATCGCCAAGATGCTTACCCTGGACGTCTCCCAAAAAGGATACCAATTCCACAAAGGCATGATTTGTTTTTTGTATCATCAGGTCCAAGCTCAGGTATGCAACTGGAAGACTGTGGTATGCCGGGCTTGCTCCCGTGCTATAGGGCAGAGGCAGTGGGGCGGCGACTGGGTCTCTCGTCGTAGATACCGGTAAGGGAAGGCTGGCGTTTGGGAGATCTCGCTGATGGGCAGTGCCCGCAAACATGCGCTGGGAATCAGGGGCTCGGGGTAGAAGAGACCCTGGGTATGTCGAATGGTGAACAGGGGTTTCAACAGGTGGAGCACCCAACAGTTGGCTGGTCGGTCTACCTTCTTCCATTCTTGCGAATTCTCTGTCGTCCCTGAGTCGCGGCCGCCCTCTCTTCTTGTGTTGCACATCCTTGCATGTCTCCTATTTTCCGGAATCAGCATCGTCAGGAACAGACTTACAGGTCTAATGACTTTACAAGGGCAACTAACCTGTTTACCAGAAGCCACACAGCGACCACAAGGGCGCTGAACGTCACAGCTGAGATGTGCCTTCTTGCAATTGACACAGGCTGACGCCACATGTGCTTTGGTTCTTCTGGCTGGCTTGGCTGGCCTGGCTGGTGGTGGTGCAATCATCGCAGTTGGCTGAACCATAGGCCCTTGGTGTTGCACTCCAGCATAAGGTGGCAAAGGGGTATTCTGGTAGCCATATCCATAGGGTTGGAGAATAGAATGTCCATAAGGTTGATGTTGGAGCGGACGTCCAGTTTGGTAAGAGAGAGCCTGGTCCCTGGGTTGGGATTCCCCAGGGTATAGTGGTCGCTGCGGAGGGAGAACGTGTGTTGCCATTGATGAACGTGGATCGTATATTGAGGGTGGCGCAGGAGGTTGAACAAAGCTATCCTGTCGTTGAGACGATCCTACAGGCTGGGAATAAGATAGGCGTGCAGATTCAACAGACTGTGCTGGTCGACGAGCTGGGGATTGAGGTTCTGACATGGGCGGGGATGGGTAATCCTGATGCGCAGACCTGTGAGGGCTGAATTTCGCCCGTAATTTGGACAGGCCGTCTTCAGCTTCCGCCGGCCGCCCAAATGGCGTAGAAAGGAGTGAGGTCGGACCAGGTAGAACCAGGCTCTGCATAGTTTTACCGCTATGCGCTCAAACGCCGCGTCAGCAGCGGGAGCTCAACGGTGTGTGTGTGGAGGTACAGATGGGCCAGAAAACTGCGCAGGTTTGGACACCGCGCTTCAGTTTTGCTACCCAAGGAAGAAGCAAAAGCACGGTAAAGTTGACCAGGAAAGTCGAAGACAGTCTAGATGGTAAAGAAGGTAAGTTGATGCAGAACATGAAAGGAGGGAGGTGAGGATGATGACGAAGAAGGGTAGGGATCAACTACGTAAGGCTAAACAAGCGGCGAATGTACAACTGGGTACGTACGTACGGCCCTCGATGCCGAAAAGGCGGCATGCCGTAAGCCAGCCTAGCAACAAGAAGATCAAAGCAATGGAATCAGGAAGGAGAAGCGGGCTCTTGAAATTACCTTTTGTGACAGCAGTGTCGTATAGGCCTGAATCGGCACAGAGTAGTAAGTTGGGATAGATAGTCGTAGGGAAGCAAAAGACGGCGGGGCCAGTGTTGGTGTTAGGTCTACTGGAGCTAACAGGGTAATGGGACGAGGAAGAGGAGAGGGGAGGCGATGGTATTGACTCAGTGTGGAGCCAATGGGGAATTTGGGATGGCAAATCGTAAAAACATCAGAGCAGTCGTCTGCCCACTCGGCGGAAATTCCCCAGTAATAACCACAGTCAGTTATGGGGAATTCTTGCTCACAGATCTTTACCAATCCCTGTCAAGTCGTGCATGAGGGGCCTCCCAAGAGACGGGGGCCACGCTGAGTTCCGGGCAACGGGAGCAGGGGAGGATGCGTCTCGGGGACGACGACATGCTTCCCTCGTTCGGCTGATGGTTCTTCGACATTTTTGCTAGTCTGGGTGTCCCAGACGGCCGATGCACCCGCGGAAGCACCTATGCACGGCCATTAGTTGGTAGTGGGTGCATGGGCAAAGCGGGTTGAGGAGCCTTGTCAGAGGCCGCTCGATCCCCCTGCTTTCCGCACCGTCTGAGAGCCGGGGTGTGCTAACGGGATATGGCTCGCGCTTCTACACGCCATTGCACCATTGTTTTGCGGCCGCCCAGGCAAACTTTCAGTTGAAGCATGGCACAGGTCGAGGGGGGCCCTTGATGCGCGGCGTGCGCTTATGTGCGACCCAGTAATTGCCTTTGCTGGCTCGATTAGGCATATCCAGAGGCCGAAAACGTTCGGCCTAGACAAGCATCAGGAACGGCAAAGGATCCAAGTCATTTCAGCCAGACGATCACGGGGTTTCAGGAGCCATGGGGTTAGCACTGCGAGCGCAAGTGCAAGCTCCATGGAGGGACATTTGTGGCTCTCGATGACAGGCCCGCGGCGGTGGTGCACTACTGCTATGGCGACGCTTGTCACTGTCAGTCGCGTGTCAGGACCCCTTCAGACCAACCACCACATGGATCGCCTCGCTCGCCTCTTCGCACCGACCGACGGTCGCAGCGGAAGTCCTCGCCTCGCGGCGGCTACTCTGCATTGATTGCCGGGGAAAGCTTGCTCAGGGTCCCTAGCAGTGGGACGTACGATATCAAAGTACAAGTTGCGATAACAATCATTACCGCACTACTATGCTCTGAGCATGATGACGCACATGCCTGGCGTCAACTCTATCACAGCCCATACAGGTTGGAAACACGACCACTGCTATGATCGACGTCTCCGTGCGGATATGGCTGAGGCAGGGCGACGCCTTTTTGTATGGAAATTTCCGTCGTCACATCGAGCGAGGTCCGACTTGCCCGCAAAAGCAATCCATTCGTCATTAGGTTCTCAGCCTACGGCGACGTCCCTTCCTGCGGCAAGTCTGAACTCTTGTCGCATCTTGTGGGGCACGTAGCTTTGTCATGCGACACGCCATGCCCACCTAGCTGCATGGCGCCGGCGCTGTAAGCTTATGTATATGGTGCGGGTGATAGATCTGGCAGATGCAGTGTGCTCTGGGACAGCACGCGCGAGCAACAGTAAGCTGCATCCGACGACATACTACTATGTATCTGCCCCCCTCGTACTTGGTGCCAAAAAAGCTTCTGCACAGCTGGGCATTGAGGCGGCCCTGTGTGGAATGTTGTGTGCATCTTGGCCAGTGACGGGTGCATAAGACGTCAAACAACGGACTCATTTACGCTTCAGGCGACCCTCTCATGCACGCTGCAAAATCTAACACTGAACAGTCTTCAGTCCCAACCACCCCAGAATCACGCGCTAGGGGTGGCGTCCAATGCTCTTATGAAGCGACACATAGTGCCATGGGCAAAATGCGGTACAGGCATATCATATGTCCCATTATAGGCTTCGTGTTGCATGGGCATGGCACTGGGCACACAAAAAAACTCCGGTGGGTGAATCGATCGAAAGTTGGCGCCCGGTCGAAGATCTGCCTGCAAACTGCCCGAGCCAGGACAGACGGCATTACGGGCAGCATGGCTTGTCGTGCTGGCGTGTGCGCAGTAGTAGCAGCATTGATGATGCGGGGCCGACGCCTAGGTCGAGGGCACGACGAACATTGCAGATGAGAGACGTCCTCGGCATGTGAGGACCTCGTGTTTATTTTTTTCTCCCTTCTCGACGAGAATGAGAAACAGCGAACGGAGCGCTTCGCTGCTGCCGATGCCACACAAAGAGAGAGAAAGGCAAAAAGAGTGGCAGCAGGAGCATTAGCGGCCACCTCGCTTGTCGACCGCGGCGACGCATTCAGAAGGTAGAACGGCGAGTGCGGCAGGGCAAAGATTCCGCGCTGCAGTCCACAGTGGATGGGTGGATAGACTTGCTGACCCGTGGGACTCGACCTCGACACGGAGCTGCGGTTAGCTGAGCCGAGAGCCGTGAAGATCGGTGCCGTGGCTGGGATCTATACCACAGCACTATCCCTGGATGAGCTTATCCATGAGCAACCAACACATGTACTTGGACACACTTTACTTCCAGCATCCATCATAAACTATGGCCATGACAAATTGCGGATTGCCCTTGTCGCTACCCCAACACAAGCTGCAGTGGTAGGGCACGGCACATGTACATACTCGCTTGAACAAGGGCAGAGCCAGCGCCCCCCAGCATGTCGGCGGCCATGGCTTGGAGACGTCCCCTCTGCACATCTTCACCCTGCTCTTAGCGGAATGAGCCGAGATCCAAAACGCAGGGAGTATGAGTCAGGTCTGCAGGAGCGTTTCCTCGTCGCTCGTCGGGGGGAGGGGGGGATGGCACCATCGCTCGACTAGGGTATTTTTTTTTACGGCCGAAAAGCGCATGCTTGTTTTGGGGATAAAACCTGGCAAAGGCCGCCAAGCGTGTGATTGGTGCTGCAACCCCACCTGCGGAAAATATAACACCCAGCCCAAGAAACCAACGCAATGGCCCTGAAGCTAGGCCGTCTATTTAGCCTTGTTCGCCCATGATTGAGATCCAAAAATAATCTTAGATAGCGGAAGTGTTGTCGTTGGGAGCAGGCCCTATATCGCCTATATAGATTGCTTTCACTTCTGAGTACCATTCGCCGGAGCTACGGCATCCACATAACGGCCTGTCCAATGTCCCGGGACTGCTCGTCCTGCGGTGGCGGGCCCAGCCGCTGTGTTTGTGCAGTGACGATGATTGTTGAGAGCTCCGTCCGCACGTTTCGCTGTTGCAACTAGTCGTCTTGCAACTGCGTATACGGCCCTCTGCCCGCTTTGCCATGCCCCCCAAATCTCGTGTTCGTACGGGCTCCGTATGGTGACAGGTTGGCGTCAGCCGCATGGCGACGCCCCAAATATTGCGACAGAGTTGCGGGCGGGATCTACGAACCGGTGCTCAGGACACGTTGTGCCAAAGTAGCCTCTGCCAGGGGCCCTCGCCCGCCATGCTGTCCGTTCCCTCCTGGGGGCCCTTGCAGCCTCGCCCTCCCTTGCACCTGGGCGCGGGACCACTGTCGATTTGCGACTGGGTGCGGGCCGAGTTGGTCCAGTGCTGGCCTCGGTGCGTCGATATCTTGTGTAATGCGTCTACTATGCTCAAAGTTGATGGTCGCGTGGGTCCTGTGTAAGGATATGAGCCTGTGTAGTTGGACATGCTCACACAGCATGTGCGGCTCATGGCTTTGCCCCCCAAGGCGCCCTGCAGCCAGCTCCTTACAATGCGTGTCTATGACAGGCAAACCCTGCAGACATCCGCTGCTGACACCCCCCTTCGAGTCGACTCGTCAGGCCCGCAGCGGAGCGAGAAATTTCCGGTAATATGCTATATCAACAACCAAGCAGCCGTTTACCGAGATATGGAATGTGACTACGCTTGCAGCCACCCGACTAGAGCGGCAGTCTAGACTGCGCCGCCGTAAGAGAACCACGCCGCAGCCGTTGACCTGCGTGCCGGCGTCTGGTGCGCGTGTTTGGTTTTGATTGAAAAGCGTCGAGCGTATTGCTGCGAAATTGGCCGACGGATTGGGGACATGTTGAATATCAAAAAGCCGTTGAAGTACGGGGAGGCGTAGGAGGATTGTTGGTCGGCATCGCGTACTTCCAAAACCCCGAGGCCGAAGCCACGGCTCTCAGGCCACCCACACAGCGTCTAAGTGCAGTCAGCCAGCCGTAGCACTTGGTTGCAACCAAGGGAGAAGACAAAAAAGCAATGGCAGCAGTAGTAGTAGTAGCAGTAGCACAGTAGCAGTAACAGTACACCTAGTAGCAACAGCTGCAGCGTCAGCAATAACAAATGTGGCGGCTTCTGGAAGAACGTCGGGTGAGCTGCCGCAGCGCGGATGCAGGAGGATTCCAAGGCTATTGAGGTCTGGCGGCGTTTGCCCAGAATAGGGAATGGTGGTGTGCACCCTTGAGTTTCGTTGAGTGGAGAAGAAATATGTCGGCTCAAAGAAATCTCCTCGATGGTGGGATGACGTGCCTGCATTGCCATGTGCACCCGATGTGGATGCGGCCCCCCCTCCCCTGGAAGCCCTGTCCCTGCTTCGGACCTTATTGAGGGTGGTGAGCTTGCAGGCAAGCCTTGACCCTAGGCGCCGAGTACATGCAATGGTGCAGGCGCCTGTCACTGTCATTTGCCTAGCGGATGTTTTGCACCTATCGCCCTTGCTCGGTAGAGTATGGAGTAGACCTACATGAATACGTGCATACATACCACATGTAGATATCGTCCGTTTGCGTCTTAATGGCCTGCACCCCCAAACTTAGCACCCCCAAACCCCAAACACAAAAGTACTCAAGGGGGGTCCACGTCGCTGCAAATCGAGCCACGACTTGTTTTTGCAACCTTTATTTCTCGTCGACCACCGCGATGTGCGCAGGTATAAAAAAAAGCCACTATTGAGTCCAATGTGCTTTGGCCCAGAGGGGCTTGGTGCTTGCCCACAACTCTGTTCCAGTACCCGATTAAGTTTCGCCAATCCGCACCCAGGTGGCACAGCAAAGCAACGACAGCCTCTGCGAATAAAAGCAACCATGACCTGACCTTGCCCATTACAACGGTCCTTTCTCGCACAATTAGCCCCTCTGGCCAATGGTGCAGCCACCTTCTTTGTTTTGCCTCGCCACAGCGCCGGCCGACAAATCACATCCGATACTGAGCACCTCGGCCCGCGACCACGGTGGATCTTCATCATGTTACACAGCAGCGTCGCTGACACGTGCCAACTCAAACCTCATCATTGTCGATTCATGCGTCCAGGCATAAGGCCCGTGTATTGATTCAACCATCTCAATGTTTCCGCTTTTTCGACGGCCGCGCATTCTTTTCTCGCCGTTTCTCCTGGATTTTGCGGTTCTTGCGCACTGTATCCACATCCCGAAGCTCACTCTTGCCCTTTCCGTCCTTGAAGGCACCAATGCGCTTCTCCTGTGCTTCAGCCACCCGCTTCTTCTGCACATGATAATCATCGCGGTATCGGTCAGCTTGCTTCGGTGCCTTTTCCGATTTGTGCTTGTACCGAGGTGCGTTGTTGAAAGATGCTGCTGGGCGGTTGGCGGATTCCATCTCGCCCACCCTCGGCATCTTGACCTTGTTTGCTTTGCGCCAGTCATCAAAACGACCGCTGCGGAAACTCGCCGCAATTTTTTGTCCACTCTCCCCGCGGATCATCTTGGCTCCCTTGGACCCGTCGTCGTCGTTGGTGCGGTTGACATACTTCTTGGACTTTTTGTCCCACCGCATCTTGGACTTGACCGCGTCTGCGAAACCTTGAATCTCGTCGTTGACCAGTGACATCTCTGCCGCTCTTGCTGCAGACACAAAGTTGGTGTTGCCAGCATCTCCACCGCTAACTCCATATGCCTTTTCTTCGGCCAAGTTCTCCTTGGGAGTATACGACATGAAGTAGTCGTCGTTCCTCCAGCTGTCTTGCTTAGACTTCTTCGAGGCCGGCTGTGACACTGACACTTCAAGCTCGTCAGAGTCAGAATCATAGACACCCTCTGCAACCTCGACTTCATCTTCCGAGGACATGTCCTCGTCATTTGCTTCTCTTGAAGAAGCATGAATAGTGTCCAGCTCATCTTCATCCTTTTTGTTAGCCGCCTGTTTAGCTTTCTGACGCTCAACCTGCTCTCTTCTTTTGCGCATAATCTCAGCTGTTTCGCTATGGATCCCGCGTTTCCCAATTTCAAACACTGTTTCCGCGGGACGGAATGACTGGATCCTCGCGAGCATGTCTTCTTTCTCTCTTTGAGCGGTGTGTGCATCATTGCTAAAAAGCATGTGCGTTTCAGCAAAATTAGGAGACGCTGCTAATTCTTTGGCGCGCACTACACTCTGTGCGCTTGCCTGGTTACGTGTGCGTTGGTACTGTCGCTCACCCTTTTCAGCAACACTTAGCAAAAGCGCCAAGTCTTCGTCCTCGCTGAGTTGTCTGTTGACTTGCTCCACAGAGCTCTCTACCTGCCACGGCGACAAGCTCCCAACAACAAAATCATCTGCGTAGTTTGGCTCGTCACTCGACCGCCCCATAAGCAGGCGCTTGCCTAGAAAGAGCTGCAGATCTATGAGGTAGGGTAGGTCGACGTGTCTGCATAGACTGTATGCCCAACCTTTTCTTCCCGCACGTGCTGTTCGTCCGACCCGATGGACAAAAATCTTGGGTTGTGACGGAAAGTCATAATTTATGACATGGTTGATGTGAGGCATGTCAACACCACGAGCAGCAACGTCTGTGACGATAAGGATACGGGTCAACCCAGTTCGGAAGTCTTGAATTTGCTCTTTTCGAGCAGTTTGATCGAGATTACCGTACACTGTAGAAAATTAGTATAAATCAATACAGGACACATCATCTCACTCACCATAAGATATAGCATATCCCAGATTTCGAAGAAGGTTGGCCAGATACTCTACCCTGTGTTTCGTTGCAGCAAAGATAATGGTAGACTCTGCAACAGGAAGGTCCTTGACGAAGCCTTCACTACGCTTCCGCTTCTTGCTGAGCTTCTCGCTCTCTTCTCGGGCCTTCTTTGCGGCATCAGTCTCACCTACGGGAACTTTGATGACATTGTCCAGAAGGTACAGCAGAGCTCCATCTCGATCGCCCGACTTGATGGTAAAGTAAGCACTCTTGAGATCTGGCGAGATCTTGCTTTCCGCATCCAGACGTATCAACTTGGGCTCTTGTAAGCCCGCTCGGGCAAACTCCACGAGTGACTTTGGCAGTGTGGCACTGAACAAGAGTGTCTGCCTCGAGGCGGGGAGGGCGTAAAGAATTTCCGAAAGTTGGGCAGCAAAACCCATTTCGAACAACCGATCGGCTTCGTCGAAAACAATGTACTTGACCGAGGAGAGGTCAAGGCCCATCTCAACCTTGAGATGCAGGAAACGTCCCGGAGTGGCAATGATGATATCGGGATTGGTGGTCATTGAGCTAAATTCTGCAGAATTGTTAGCATGCATCGCAATGGCTTAGTGATTGTGTATACGTACGTTCTTCAAGACTGTCACCGCCAACGAGCAAGATGGTTCGCAAATCGGTACCACGACCCAGCTCCTTGACTACCTTGAGTGTTTGCAATGCAAGTTCGCGAGAGGGCGACATGATAATTCCACGCGCGCCCACTTTTGCGGAGTGCGCCTTGAGCTTCTGGATCATAGGTATAACGAAAGCGGCCGTCTTTCCGGAACCGGTTCTGGCCATTCCCACCACATCCTCGCCTTGAAGCATAAGTGGCACTGCCTTACGCTGAATCGGAGTCGGGACCTTGAAGCCCTTTTGTGTGATAGCTTTCAGAAGCGCCGCATTTAGGCCCATGGCTTGGAAGCCTCCACCCTTCTTGACCGACTTGCCTACGTTCGAGGCTTTGCGATTTGAAGCGGCCTGTTTCGCAGCGATGAAGGCCTCATCGTCGGATCCATCGTCACTGCCAACGTCAAGATCCAAGCCCAGATCTGCGTTCAGGTCCGTCTCTTGCGGAATGTCATCGCCGCCGGCTAGAGCATCAAAAATGTCGAACTCGGTTTCGGAGAGCGCCGGCGAGCTCGCGCGGTGGGCCATGTTGGGCTGCTCAACTATAGGGTTCCGGGAGGACGGAGGTGAACTTTTGCTCTGCTTGATGCTAGAAAGTTGCGCGTAGAGTCGCTCTTGGGAAAATTTCGAGCACGGACCTTCCTAAATCTTGGCGGCAGGGATGCTGTTGAAATAGCGTTCACGTGCCCCGCGATGAGGCAGGCGCGTCCGACGCGTTTTGCCTCGAGTAGATTTGTTGTACACGGCGTCTCTCAACTGCAGTCAATAGGATGAGTAAGTTTTCCATGTTCCAATACTCCTAAGCATTCAGGCTTACCATATCAGACTACAACAACTACGAAACCTCGTACACGTCCTATGGCGCTGGCGGCGGTGGTGGCGGAGGCGGCTTCATACCAGGAGAAGGCGGCAGCACACAGAGTCCCGGTGGCCGGCAAAACCAAATCCAGGACTCGATACGCCCTGTTACGATCAAGCAGATACTAGACGCCCAAGGAGAGGCAGGGAGCAACGAAACCTTCAAAATTGACGGCACAGTAATCAGCCAGGTACACGACAGCCCCACGTTGGATATATATGCTTGCGCTAACTTGTAGTCAGCTCACACTTGTCGGCCAAATACGCAACATATCTAACCAGACCACAAACACCACATATCGCCTCGATGACGGCACCGGTAGCATAGAGGTCAAGCAATGGGTCAATCCCGAGACAGTAGACCACAGCAGCCTTGCCAAGGCTAAGCTCGTCGAAGGCGCATACTGCAGGGCATGGGGTAAG